CCGCTCGCCTAAAAAGGTACATTACTTCTTGACCATGTTTTTTTTTTATTTTCCCAAAACGTCAGAAATGTAATCACAATATGTCAGAAGTGAGGTTATCTTTTGTGTAACACCCATCTAGAGCACTCCAGAGCAGTGATTGATTTTTTTTTGGGTAAATATATGAAGACCTGATATTTCTTCGGAATCAGGGAGGAGAACCCAGCAACTAATTTAAAATTCCATCAATAAACAGATGTTTGTAACAGATAACAGTTTTCCCTGACACATCCGACATGAAAAAGTGCTTTTAAAGGTAACTGATATCCGCTGCTTATCAGCTTTCTAGTTGATTGGGAAATGTGGGCTTTCACATGAACAGCTTTATCTAAAGGGTTTCTCCTGAAACCATGGCATCGCTGCTGGCCCGTATGAAAGTTTGATTTCGAGGCGATTCTACAACGAGAGCCTCTTGTAGCGATGGAAATTGCTGCTATTATATTATCTATTTTAAACGTTAAACTCCGCCTGATTTATTATTATTACGTTGGCAAAATGGATTAGAGGAATTTATTTACGGGCTCCCGACATTTATTTATATTGGGCTGGATCAATAATTACCAGTACGAACATCCGCATTCGCGAAATAAATTCGTTGTGCGACCAACACATCGCGCTCACGAAAAAGGTTTTAAACAATACAGTGTCCCAAAATGAACAAAATTCAAATTTTTTTCCAGTACAGATTTTAAAAAATCGTTAAAACAGGTCAATTTTTCTGCAATAATTTCTATTTTTTTGGGCCATTACCGACATTTTTTTTTTAATAGGACGCTCTATATTTTATAATATAAATAGATAGCCCTTCTAATGAATTCAGCGAAATAAGGTTATACAGGGTGATTAATTAACAATGGGAGCATCGAACATCGAAAGCTGAAGATACTACACGTGAAATAGTGACCATTGGCGCAGGGTGTTGAAAGTTGAAATTTTTGAATAGTTTTTTTACGATTATTCTGAAAATATGTAGGTTAGGAACTTGAAAATTTGTGAAACTATATTTTTTTGGGCGACGAATAAGATGCGTGTTGTAATTTCAGCATTGCTCGTAGAGGGCGCCACTTCCGACCAATTTTACCGAAAATTTACTTAATAACTTTTTTCCCTGTATGTCTAACATGAAACTTGATTCAAAACCTGAAAGAGCAATCATTTTTCCATTAATTGTGTATTTTTGTTTCATTACAGTATCTCGATCCGTTTTCGAGAAGAATCGATTTGACGAACACTATGTTTTGATAATACGAGAAATTAAAAGCGAAACAAACCAAGTGTTTCTTCATGTTATTACAACAATTAACAATAAAACAAATGAAATTCGTAATAATGATGGGTTCGAAGAATCCACCGTTGACATTTACACACTTTACACAACGTTTTCTGAGAGATCTTCGAGTTTGAAACAACATATTGGGATTGCGTTTGACTTCCTTGGCAGCGATTTGTATTCTTTGCCACAACTCTTCACACGAACCAATAGATTCTTCCAAATAGAAAAATTAAGAGGATTGAAGTCCGGACTTCTGAGTGGCCAAGTAAAAATGCTTCCACGGCTTGAAGAAGTTTCACTTTATTTAAGAAGAGACATGTGGTTCATGCACGACGGAGCTCCACCTCATTTTTCTTGGCCAGTGCGTGCATATTTAGATGTAGTTTTTCCAAATTGCTGAATTGGCCATGTAATCATTTTTGCTTGGCCATCCAGAAGTCCGGACTTCAATCCTCTTGATTTTTCTATTTGGTCTCGTATGAAAGATATAGTTTACAAAGATAAGGATAAGGCATGTTTGCGCCAATGGTCACCATTTCACGTGTAGTATCTTCAGCTTTCGACTTTCCCATTGTTAATTAATCACCCTGTACATATTTTTTTGTCAGTTCTCAAAAAAATTAAAAAAATTGTCTTTAATGTCGTACTGACGACTATTTTAAAAAATCATAGTCTCTTCTGTACTTTAAAAAACGTACCTACTCTTTATTTAAACTTTTTTCTACTTTAAAGCTTTTTTTTCTCAAAAAAAAAACATCGATAAACTCACAAATTTCACCAGGATACCTTAGGTATAACGTGAATCTTTTTAGTTCCAATTCATTCGTTGTTAAATTATTTTGAAAAATAGTTGACTGTTTAAGCGAAAAGCAGAGAATTAAAATTTGAATTATGATTGGTTGCGGAGATAAAATCCGTAGTCAACAGGAGGTATGTGACTTACTTCACCATAACTATCCAGACCATCAAAGAATTAGTCTAGTATAGCTACAATAAGTAAAGTACTCAAAAAGTTTGAGGAAACTAGAAGTTACAGATTTGCAGAGGCATGGGGATGGAAATCCTCAAAAGTTGCCGAAAGAAACGTAGAGAAAGAAATCTTTTACAAATAAACTAGACATAGTAAATAAAATATTTAAAGGGGTGAAAGGCAAATAGAAATTTGCTGATAATGGCAATAATATTGCGGAAGAAATAACAATTAAAGTTAATAGGAATAAAGTCGCTGACTTTTCAAGTAAAGTCAATACAATGTTAATAGTTGTACAAACTGCAACATAATTATAATAAACGTTGAATATTTGTAATACAATATGTTCAATAAATAGGTATGTTCTATTTACTAAACGCATTTTTAATGCAAGTAGATTTATCTGCCTGTATTTATTTACTGTCTAAACTTACTTTCCTGGTTTAGGCTGGAAAAGTAAGTGTCTCGTACCGTTTTAGTAACCTCCAGCATTACTGCTGCGAATGTCATCAAATTAAATTGAAAATGGTGGAAACGCTCAAGGTCAATGTTAAAACTTAATGTTCCGATAATCTACCACGCGTCTTGTGAGTCGAAAAGCAGATTCTTTTTCGACGAATTTAAATAACGTTTCTATTGAAATTAAACAGTTTAAATGTAAATAATAGATATTTCGTGTTCGACGTCTGTAAATATTTATAAATGTTCGAGACGTGCCGCGTTAGAACGGATCACACTGTAGGTGTTGGGAAGAGAAGAACATATACCAGTGTTGCCAGATCAGGGGAAAGGTCCCGAGTTCTAGAGACTTATTGAGGAGTTTTAAAAATATTGTCATTATAAGAAATACTTTGTCTAAATAGTAAAACAAAATGAATCATGTTCATAAGGTGGTTTTTATACTAAATTTTTTGCAAAAAAGAACTATTAATAATAGTTTTTTCGAATAATCGGCAACATTGTCACAGTGTTGCCAATATGGGCGATTTATCGCAAATTGGGTGATCAGGATATGGTGGGCGATTTTTTGGGCGATATGCCAAAGAAAAAAAACGCAAAATTGGCATCGAAATATATAAAGTTACAAAATGATTAGAAAAAAAATGCTTCTGGTAAAACATGTATGGTAATTAAATAGGTAATTTTAACAAATTAATGAACAAATAAACTGACCACATCGAATTTATTATAATTAATGGAATTAACTGTAGACTCAAGACATAATTTGACACCATTAAAATTTACTTTCCCTTACATCAAATTATTTTGATCACACAGATTTGGCGAAACTAATAAAATAAGAAACGAAAGTTATCCTAAAAAAAAATGGCCCGAAATGCTACCGGTCTATTTTTTTAACTATTTTCTGTTCTATCTTTCATTTCATAGAAAAACAGAGACCCCTATTAATAAGAGAAGTATTTGTTTAGCTTGACGGTTTTTGAAACTCTTCGTCTAACACTGACCCAAGACAGACATCATGGATGACATTGAACATGAAAAAGTCAAAATTGCCAACAACCGTAAATATGATAAAAGATATCAAAAATTATTTGTTGTAACGAGTTTGGAATACTTTAAATCGAAAAAGAAATATTGTATTTTGAGTATGAGTTGAGCGATTTGGTCGAATTTTGGATGGTCAATTGGCTACCTGCGGATGAAAGGTGTTGGCAACACTTCACTCATTTATCACAGGCTTATGGCAATACCGTTGATTAACTTTTGGCCGAAATAATTAAATAAGTTTGCTAGTTTCCAAGACTTCCAAGTATTCTGAAATGTTTCGGAATTTTTGTGGTAAAGTTTCTGATTTATTTTTAATTCTTTTTTGATGTATAATTCCGTTTTTTCTACATATGTATATAATCTATATCTAGATGACTGAATTTACGTATTTTGTTATATTCCAAACTTATTTTGAATCACTTCAATGGTTTATGGCGCCTGGTCAAAGTATTTTGACATACTTTACAGAAGTTTTGGTGTTTTGAGGCATTCTATTTTATTTTGAAGTGGTTTTTACGTATTTGTTGCATTATACAGATGTTTTAAAGTATCTGTTTTTATTCTGATTTATTTTTTGCACAATTCCTTTAATTTATTAGTAACTTTTCACAATTTCCTTGTGTGAGCTATCCTCAAATAAATTTTGATGGACTTGGGGATCTTTCGGATGTAAATGGCGAACATAAATGTGAAAAACTTCTATCTTCGAGACGATTCTCCTTTGGTAGGTTTTTCTGTCAGGATGTAGGTAGTCCATTAATAAGAAAAGAGTTTGGTTAGTTCGACGGTTTTTCAAACTGGTCGTTTAACAGGGGCCTAAGGAAGATAACGGTTCAATTTGTGAAATAGATGACCTTGAGCGTGAAAAATGTCAAAATTCCAAGCACATACCTGTAAGTAGGACAACAGATAGAAAAAAAATTTTTGTTTTTTTAATAGGTTTGGAATATTAAAACGAAAAGAAAATTTGGTATTTTGAGCATAACGAGGTGGGCGATTTGGTCGATTTTTGGATGGTCAGTTGGCGAAAGGCACCGGCAACACTGCACTGGCATATACCCGTTTGCCGCAGATTTATGGCAACAGCTGGTGGCTGGCGGGTCCGAATATTTACGTGCGCCGTACAACAACAGTGGTCGGGTGCGAATAAGCAAAAAGGACGGCGGTCGCAGAGAGCCGAGATCGGCCAGCATCACAATATAAAATTACCTTGGCCAAGTATAGACTCCCGACACCTCGAAGCCGTAGTGCCAAGAGCCGGAGTAGGCGCCTTGGCCCTTAGGGCCGGTGCAGACGCCATGGCCGTGCGCCTTGCCCTCCTCCCAGCCGCCGCAGTAGGTGCCGCCGTCGTCGAAGTCGAAGCGGCCGCCGTTCACGTGACTCCTGGTGGTGGCCGTGCCCGTGGCCCCCGTGGCCGCGGGGGAGGCGCCGTTGCCCTCGCCCACCTGCGCGCCCTGCATCTCGCACTGAACGCGTCACTCGTTTCGGCCTTTTCCGGGCCTCATCATCATCGTCGCGCACACTGCTGGTTCTCGGTGTCTCGGATACGCTCTGATAGCGGGCTATCAGCTCGGCATGTTCGGATCGTCGTGCGGGTAGTCGGCGCGGTACTGAGGTGGCCCAGAAGCACCCGGGCCCAGCTGTGCGCCCGTCTCGACGCCAACTTCGGCGTCGCGACGCGTGCGCAACGCGGACGGCGGCGCCGCTCTAGCCGACGGTGACGGCCACGTCGCCTGCTGCTCCTGCTGCCCCGGTGGGCTGGTGTGCGCCGCCCGAGGCGATGCCGCTCGGTGCTTTTTTCAGCCGTTGGTTGGGGCGACGGAACTGACCTCAAAACAAGCCGGAGCGGATTGCCGTCGACCGTCCAAGGTTTTCCGAAGCAAATAGGTAGTTGGTCGTTCCCGACTCGTTTCGAGATCGAAATAATAGCCGGTGTTGCGGTGGGTTTATTGTAGACTTCGGATAAATCCGTTCCAGCCGTCCTCCTTCAACAGTTTTTTGTGATTTTTTAAAATTACAATATGTTTTCAATCAATTTCGGGTCACTGCCATCATAACATTTTTAAAATAGTAAAATTATTACTATTTTTGGTTCAGACCCACTAAACATTTTTCAGTTTCTGACATGTTCCAGAAACGTTTCCATTTTTCTTGAAACGTTTCATAAAAAATCCATGCAACGTTTTGGTAACCCAATAGAAACCGAAGATGTCCTCCCCAAAATACGTTTCCAATGAAACGTATCAAAAAATTGGTTTCAGTAACCAGTGGCGGCTCGTGACTTTTTGAGATGGGTGGGCAAAATATTTTTTCTTTCATGTAACTTAATATCATATATTAATTGCAATCTACGTTAGTCTATTTAGTTTTGAAAGTGTAAAAAACTTAAGAATTATGTAGATAGTTAATATAAAATATACCTGAAAATTATATTAGTTATTCCAAAAGTATACCTAATAGTTCAGCAAGAACAAACGAGAATGTCATCACAGTGATTTCTTGCCGGGATAGGAGATAAGGCAAGGATTAAGGCATAGAAGGACATAAAAAATTATATAATTCTCTTAACAAATAGTAAAATTCTCTATCGCTTTTATAGCTGAAATTACAAACGATAAATTATACTAAAATTCTAATAAATAAATATATAAATAAATAAATAAATAAATAAATAAATAAGTAAATAAGTAAATAACCAAATCAATAAGGCGTTTTACAATGTCTCTATTTTCGTCCACGACTTTATTATGGTTTAAAATATTCTCACGAAATGCAGAATCAAGAAAAGTTTGAATGTTTTGTTTTCCTAATAATTTAAATTTTAATGTTGAATATGTATGATGCTCCTCTGATCGCGCGTGTATTTTTAGAGATTCATTTATATGTTTCAGATCTGAATATCCTAGATAATTCCATGAAGTTTTACTTTTTTCATTAAACTGTAAGCAATTCCAACAATATAATTTGTTTCTAGTTTCACTACCTGTTAACCACTCATATTTATTGTACCAATTTTTACTAAATGATCTGTTACTTCCGCAATTGTTTATATTTATTAAATTTTTCATGTCAGGCGTAGGTTTTAATTTTGAAATAATTTATCATCGAAAGTTAACATACAAAATTTTTTATTTAATAAAAAATTAATAATATCACCATTGCTACTCACCAATTCGCTATTTTCGGCTTGCCATTTTGCTTTACTCCAAACTATTAAAAATTAAAAACTTCCGTAAACCACTATACTAACCCTAACCTAGAACTTACAAACAACCAAGTCGTGAAGTACAATGAATAACATAACAAATCTCTACCTTCCTAATCTATGAAATAAAACTAACATCAAACCGCAGATTACACGTAGGTACCCGAAGAATATACGAATGAAGTTGAAGGGCTTGCCCGAAGAGTAGAGTTATTTTAGGTAATTATGTATATTCAAATGAAAATTTATTAAAAATCTGATTGAAATAAAAAAAATATATTAAATAGAAGCTATTTTTTTTAATCGAACAGTTTATTATTTGAAAAAATAAATAAATATGTATCGAATTTAAAAGTCCTAAAAATAATTTATTTCACTTCCATATTTACAAACTCGAATCTATTAAAATATTGAAAATTTTTCAGCAATCACTCTTAATTTAGTTTAACAGTAACGCTTCAAAATAACCTTAATAAATATACTTAATTGTCAAAGAACATTCAACATAACAGCATAGATATTCATTTTTAAAAATTAAAAAAAATTATTTTTAAAAATTCATTTAAAGAACAAAATTACACCACATAAATATACATATTGTACATATATTTCCAACCGCTGCTGGCTGGCTGGCGAAAAGCCGTAGCTGGCCGAAACAGCACTCGATGAGTATGGGGGTGCGGGCTGTGTCCGGGCTCGCCCGACTTGGGCTAGATATTCTACATTAGTTAACGACTTACGTTTCCGATTACTCTCTAGTCCTAGCCCTGCGTATAAGCAGGCAACGTACGGCGTTGTTTAATTCAGCGGCCACGGGCTGGCCCGAATGTTATGTTGGTTGCTGCCGAGATCATCCCAAAAATAATTTACATCACTCCCATGTTTACAAACTAGAATCTATTCAAATATTGAAAATTTCTCAGCAATCACTTTTAATTCAGTTTAACAGTAACGAGTTAAAATAACCTTAATAATTATAATTATCAAAGAACATTCAACATAGCACCATAGATATTTATTTTTTTACG